TTCATGCTTAAAATGATAAATCACCTCACTAACGAGTTTAAGGACCAAAGACCTTACCCCAATGATTTCCTCTGAAAATCTCCCTTGAAAATGCTCCCCAAAGCTTCTTCCTGTTTAAAAAGAGGTGAAAAATAACTCAAATTCGCGAAGGCAACTATTTATATGTTCTGCCCAGCTAATCCGCTTCTGCGGTCATGGGATCGCACCTGCGGTCCCGCTTTTGCGGAACAAGGGTCGCATCTGCGACAATTCACTAAACTCAGATTCCGCACCTAAGGTTTCCCTTACGCAGATGCGGTACTGCTTCTGTGGTGAAGCTCCCGCTTCTGCGGTTCCAACTGGCCCTCCCCCTTTCCGCTTCTGCGATTCTAGCGCCGTTTCTGCGGCTTCGCACCTACGGGACCCAACCGCAGGTGCGGTTATGACAGAAAAATCAGCAGCTACAACTGCAACTCAAAATTCCTAATCCTTCTGCCAAACATCCGAAATCATCCCGAGGCCCCCGGGACCTCAACCAAAAACACAAACAAGTCTAACACCACTGTCGAAACTTATACCAATCCTTAAAGAACATAAACAACATCGAAACATCGAATCAACCACGGATTCAAGCCTAAGAACTCAAAACCCTCAATTTACGCTTTCGATCAAAAAGTCTATCAAACCTCGTCCGAATAACCTGATATTTTGCACACACGTCACATTCAACAACATGGAGCTATTCCAACTTCCGGAATTCCATTCCGACCCTCGGATCAAAATCTTAGTATCGAACCGGAAACTTCAAAAATTCAACTTTCGGCGATTCAAGCCTAAATAAGCTACGGACCTCCAAAACACAATCCGAACACGCTCCTAAACCTGAAATTACCTAACGGAGCTAACGGAACCCTCGGAATGGAATTCCGAGGCCGTCTTCACACTGTTCCGACTACGGTCAAATTTCCAAAACTTAAGCTCTTATTTAGGGACTAAGTGTCTCAAAACTCTCCGAATTTCCAAATAAATCTTCCCGGCAACTCACAATAGCCGAAACAAACACGGGGAATGTAGTTAATAGGGGATCGGGGCGTTAATTCTTAAAACGACCGGCCATATCGTTACAATCTCTAAGAAGCATACACCAACCATTCTAACATCTATCAACTAAACTAATAGGACATTGAAACAACTAATCCTGTCAAGGGCTATACATGATTCAAAATCAGGATATTCATACACATAGCTGAAACTAGTGACATGGAATCCCTAAATGCATAATACTTGAACAAAATTCTAGCAGAAACACTCTATACATAAAGAATCGAAGAACCAACATTATAAAGTATTCAGTCCTATATTACATCTACACGAAGCCTTAAACACTTAAATAAAACCAAATTTCATTACAATTATAGATACATGCTCCCCAACTTCTCTGGCCATTTAAAGGGTTGAGAAGAGTACCTGAATATCAAAACAAAGCAAAATGAAGTAAGGGCACAGCACGGCCAATTAATGAAAAATAGCAACAATCCAGCGACCAACAGCCTTTATTCATAGCATATTTAACCTAGAAATCCAGCAGAGATTTTTCTAAATTTTTGCTAAAAAATCAGAAACAATCTAGCAAATGCAGAAAAACTTTTGTGTCCTTTCTTAGGGTATCAATCTCTGATTTTTGTGAAGGAAAGGGTCTATATATAGCCCTTAGGAGTGCCATGTGATGAAGAGAATAATGGAATTATTCCTTCAGCCACAAGGCATCTTTTTTAACCAACTCGGATAACTGGTTGTCCCTCATTAGCTTATGCATTTTGTGCAAACAAAATGAGGCCAACTGCCCCTATTCTACAGCCTTCCAAATATGGAAATTATCTGAAAGTACTTGATTTTATTTCCCAACATAACCCCTAAGTTTTCAATTGTTCAACTAAGACCCTAGGAGTTTCTAACCATTTACAAACTAAGGAAAACAACACAAAGCAAATAGATGTAAGTGAAACCAATCAAACAATAAATAAATACTTAAAGGGTGAATATCCGGACCCTTAACGCAAATCAGAAGGATTCAATTTCATGATGAACTCCCAAAATCTAATTTTAACAGCTAGTGACAAACTTGACTACAATTAAAAGAGGGATGGACATTGAGCATTTAAAACACTGAATCACAAAAACCCTAAAATCTAAATCATGCAATTAAAACATCGTAAATATAAAAGAAACAAAAGAAAAC